CGAGAGTCCGCTTATTTCACAGCTAACCTTCACTGAAGGTCGTTCCACAATCCGCCACCTGTTGATGCACCGGGTAGCCAGTAGCTAGGCTAACGGGTAACGCTCCATCCCGGATTGGACCTGCGGTATTCGGTCTCCAGCACTAGCGAAGAAAATAGTTCCAACTGCGCAGATCTACTGCCGCGGATCGTCGCGCGTGGAGAAGCGTCGTACGGGACATCATTGAGGCCGGCTAGATCAGTCAGGATCGCAACCGCAACAAGTAAAGGTAAGTACAGTACGCCAGGCAGATAGCTAATTAGCCCTCGCACTTGGACTCTAGTCCAGTCGTTGCGAACTAGACTTGAGAGAGAGAGAGAGAGAGAGAGAGAGAGAGAGAGAGAGAGAGGTGAGGACCACAGCGACGCTTCGCAAGTCCGCATCAGTGCCGAAGCCAGCAGACACGTACCTATTGGCCTGGGGGCGGACGACCACAGCAAATAAGCTGAACTCTGTTAAAAAATTCCTATTTATCTGTTCGCTTACTAGCATAGAGCTGAGAAGTTCGAATCTCAGTGGACGACAGGGCAGGCAACCGATTCAATCAACTAGAAAGGCAGCCTAGGAAGCCATAAACATTTGGCTTCCGTAGAAGAGAATCAAACAACGTGAGAGACGAAATTTGCTTATCGAGAGGTAGACGCGCTTGATAAATGTGACTGAGCGCGACTTGTCTACGCCTTGGAGCACGCAATACACATAGTTGGGCACAATCAAGATTTTACTGTGGAAAAAAGAAGATTTACAAGGTGTACACATCAAGGCAGAGGGGCAGGGGAGGGAAGGCAATAGGTCTAAATGACGAGGTACTTCTCCATGATGTATCGGGCCATGTTGGGATTGTTTTGTTGCCGATAGTATTGCTGCAGATTGAAGGCAGCCTCAAGCTTTAAGTCGAACAGCTGAAAGACAGAGACATGGAGGCGAAAGTACCAGTTTTAGGCAGTTGTACAGGCAAAGAAAACGGCTGCTTGAGTACCGAATCTGTTAACGGTAATGAACCTTCGAATTCATGCAGAAGGTCGTCGCTAGAGATAATAGCAATAGCAGAATACAGTTGTGGGGCATACAAACCAATCAATGACGCATCGCATACATAAACTTCCACTCGTAACAACACAGGGCAGACGAACGCATGCTCTGATCGAGCATACATGAACATACACTGACTGTACGACGAATTATCGCAAGCGGCAGCCCACACATAGGAGACGAACCACGGCTTCCACTTTGTAGCCGTCAAGGCAAGCCGGGATGAAAAATAATTAAGCCTAGGCCTCCGATGGAAAATCGATAAATAAATGTAGCGAGCTGGCGCTGGCCTTCAGATCCCAGTATAGTCATCTACAGACTTGCCTCGTTCCAAAGGAAAAGAAACAACTCTTAAATTACGCTACCTGAAAACATACTGTAGACATCAAGGGAAATCAGACCTGTGCAAATAGTTGTAGCACATAGTAAACGTGACTTTGCCGTAGTAACCTTTAGCTCCTTGATTTATAATTCCCCTCTTCCTATCTGTTTTAAAAACAATTCTCACCCCTTATCCTCCCTATATCGTGTTTTCAGTTAGTAATTGTACTGATTAGCTCGGGCGGAAGTGACCACAACCTTGTTATTTTTCGTTGTTGTTTTCCCCGTATGAATGCAAATTTCGCTGTATTCGCTCATTTATTACTTATGTTATGCAGTGACAGAAGGCAACTGATGAGCCTTCGCAAATTTTTTGGTCCCAATAAATCTTGTTCTACACGCTTACTTTAACATCTACTACTTACATCACAGTTCGGTCTATGCCTATAGACCTTGAATAAACTGATCTGTACCACGTTCAAAAAAATAATTTCTGACGGAAATTAAAGGGCTGCGCTTTCAAAAACCGGTAAG